TTTCCCTACTGTTTTCTCACTGAGCAATACCTTATCTTCCACGCACCTACGTTTTTATGGAACATACCCTGCCCATGCTCTTCCCGTGTCCACCAACACCCCAAAATAAGTCAATAAGGCTGCCTTAAAGTAGCCCCAAGAGTGCCCCAAGCACTGCTCTTAAGCACTGTGTTTTAGACATGCTTACTGGCACATGTTCAGGGATGCTATAGAGTGACTACATGGCCTTAAATGTCAGCAGGTGGCACATGCAGAGGAGCAGGGCATACTTCACAGCAGCATTCCTGGCAACTAATTTAGAAAACAGGGGGCCAATGTAGACATGCCGCTAGAGGTTACTATGCTAGAAGCAGTCATTCTGGTATCAAAATAGCAGTTTAAACAAAAGAAGATTATTAAGAACCTAAACTGAGCAAACCTTCGACTTTGCCTGAAAAGGACCGAGGGAATGACTTCACATAAAAAAAAAAAATGTGATGCGTTTTTCCTAGCTGGCTTTTAGCCTATGCTACCAGGTGGCAGCATATGAGCAAGTGAAGCAATCTGATTCTCATGGAAAGACCATGTTTTGCTTCCTTTAGATCACACCAACTGATGCAAAGTCTCTTGCATAATGAAGGTCTGCATTGTTTTACTAGAACTAGTAAACTTGTTTCTCTCCACCTTGAATAGTGGAGAAAAGCCTCTTTTACCCCTGCTATTTGTTTTGTAAGAACTTAGAAAAGCTCCACTGAAGCATCCAAAGCAACACCAGCTCATCCTCCTCCTTTCTCTTGTGGCTCAAGGAGATGTGATACAATCCAAACAACCAGAACTAGATTTTCTCCTTGGTGGCGTCTTGACAGACAAGATACCAAGGGATAGCTGCTCATTTGTCCTGTGCTGGTGGCACCCAGAACACGGAAAGCTTTGTCCTTAATACAATAAGTTGATTTATTCTGTGGCAGTCTTCCCAGAATACCCTCCTCTATAAGCTTTTATTCTAGTTAAAAAACAAACAACTATACACACAGAATTTGTATAGTCCTATATTCTAAGTAATATACTCCTATTGCAGCAATGTTTGCATATTTGCATACAAAAGAGTATTTATGAAATAGACTAAAGTAGATAGTGATAGTGGAGCCCTTTTCTCCTTTATATGATACACAATTCATTTCTGATACTGAGAAACAGTACCCCCCCCACCAATACACATGTCTCAGACAGAATACAGAAATAAATAAGAATGTTAAAGTCATTGCTTTAACTTAGAAAAAAGGGGAAGGTACACACCTGGATTTTTTGACAAGAACAAGATTAGCACATTTTCCTAATTGTCCTCAGTGCCACATGCAGAAAGAGAACAAAACATATAAGGGGAGGCACGACAGAAACACATTAGTTGGCCAACAAAATCAGACATCAGAAGCAGGGCTGCTGATTTTTTGCCTGAAAACCCCTTACTTACTTTTTAAATCACTGTTACGGCTGATTAATATATGAGGCAAATTTCATACATACATTTGTATGCCTGAAACCTACTTTCTGCGCTTTCCTTATAGTGGGCATCATGTCTTTAAAATAGTCAGGCTCCATTTGTTCCAAAGCATTCTGTTGCATGGCTACGTTCCCATTGCCACCTTCAATCTTCACACTAGTAGGTGCATCTTCATCCCATGAAGTCCAGTCTTCTACTTCTGACTAAATACAATTGAATAGGAGTTTATCATTAGATTTGCAAGTGGAAGATCATCACATTTCTCTCTATTTTATTGTTAATGGGATTGGCAGAATGTATTTACTCAAAGTCACCCAACCCTTTAAAGCTATTACCTTAGGAACAGATGAATAATCCACTGTAGTTGGCAAAGTTATTTGGTCTCCACTTAACTTTCGTCCCCTTCCAGACCTGAAAGAAAAATGCAGGATTCCTCCAAGCTCTGAAAACATGAACACTACATTAAAAAGAAAGCTGAGGGCCAATCAAGATACTGAAAAGAAAGAAAGTGATGAGAATTATAGCCAAATCACTAATGAATTCTAATAAACAACCCCAACATTTACTTATTTATCAAATGACAGAGAACTAGAAAGGGGACTCAGGAAACACATACTGTGCATTAAAAACTACTGTTTTGTTTACAAGAATTAAAGGTTGTTAGAAAGTTTTAAAGTCTTGATATGTTTTTCATCATTTCTTTTCTTTGCACATTTTGCCTTTTCTGTTTGGACAACGATAATTAGCTTCAGTTTTGTTTATTGTCGATTTCATTTTGAAATTCTTACTGCTTTAATATTTAAAGTTGCAAACACCGTAGTGTTGCGTTTGTTTCATCAGGTACTTCTTTAAAGTTCACTGAAAACTAGGGGTATAATGATAAAGATTTTCTTGGCTGATACTGATAGCCAATTATGAACCAGGCATATCAGCTGATACCAATATGACAAATGATTTACAGGAACGCAGTCGGGCAGTGTGGAGAGTAGCTCCCTGCAAGTAAGTCTGTGGAGGGGGAGGAGATCAAGGCCCCCATGGTGAAGGAGGGAGGAGGGCAGAGGGTGCTGCCCAGCCAGGGCGGTAAATGGAACCTGAGGCTGGGGTGGGGAGCGGGACAGAGCCACAGGCGCCTCATCCAGGGGATCAGTGGCCCGGCGCTTAAAAATGGCAGTGAGGGTGCTTGAATTAAAACCTCATGTGTAGAACTTTATTTCAAGCAGCCCTACTGCCATTTTTAAGTGCGGGGACACTTAATTGGAGCAGAGCCAAGCTGCTCACTGCAGGATCGGGGCTCTCCACCCTGCTGCCTTTGCCCCAGGGACCCTGTGCTGGCTGAGCATTCCCTACCTGCTTGGCAGCAGGAAACAACTCGCTGTCCCAACAGCTGCCAGGTGGGCATAGGATACGTCCCTCCCCCACACCCTTTCCCCTCCACAGACTTGCCTGCAGGGTGCTGTTCTCCATGCAGCCTGGCTGCATTCCTGGTGCACATGCACGTGGCATCCAGGGGCCCTCACCAGAAGCCATATTATATTTATCAGTTAACGTTATTGGTTACGCTGGCCAAAAAAGGCCAACTGACAATAATGTTAATTTTCCTTTTATTGGTGCCGATCCGACATGGCACTGATATATTGGTATAACTCTACAGAAAACATTTCTATTACTTTTAGCTTGAAAAAAAGCAAACCTTATTATAATAAGTTAGATCAAAACATACACTTGTACTGAGATTCCCTATAATGATCCTTAATGATTACTTGAATTTTTTGGGACAGGTTTGCACAATATTCACAGCTTTTCTTCATTATAGGCCACTATTTTCTTAGTAAGCATTAACATTTCCTTGTATGTACAGATAAAATTTTGAGGCAAGAGGAGCTAGTAGTTTACAGGAACATAGTAGAAAACTAAACATATTTCAATTCCAATTCTGGATTCCAGAGTACATCACCAAGTATCGAGTAATGAGACCAATCAACATTAGGCTTCCTACAATATGATGCAACCACTGCTGCAATTCTATCAATGGAAGATGTGGTTTAGACAAAACCCTAGAAGTTTTATTGCCTTTTAATATATCTAACTCAGTGGTAAAAAGCATTCATCATAGTGTACATTAAAGACTGTAGGGTAACAAGTAGAAAATTAAAGGATTACTAAAAACTTGATTTAGTTATTTATTCAGCCATTTATCCATTAAAAATAGTCAAGCTGGCAGTATCCCTTTAAGTATACCATTAATAGAGCACGGAAGAAGTCTGAACTCTCTCAAACATTATAGATAAAGTGAAAAAGCAAAATTTATGAAACATGCAAGGATCTATATGATTTAAAAGTAAAGCATCTCTTTCAAAGCTTTTCCCTCTTTTAGAAAAACAGCATTATGGCTTTGCTCACTGATTCCCAGTTTAGTACACACCAAGTATCACTACAATCTAATTTAAACGCATGTAAGTCTGTGCAAGTGCATCTGCTGCAGTCCTGCCCATGTGCACTAGATTCCTGCAGCTCTTTCTACAAGCCCATTTCCTGGGGTATTTCAGACTGAACTCCCAATCTTAGACTACACTACACTTGAACAGGCACTAATTTTGTAGGGGTGAAACATTTTGAGAAATTTCCACCGCTAGAAATCTTTCCTGGAAAGAAAGCAGTACAGGTGTTCAGTCTAAAGCAGCTCCTCCTCCCCTGTTCTCTGTGTCTTTCCAGACCAAGGCAACGCCAATCTATTGAAAGTATGTGGAGTAGTGACTGCTCCAGTCCCTGCCCAGACTGGGGGTTTACCTTGCTGCTCCAGTTCCCTGCATACTCCCTAGACTAGGGGCACCCAGTTACCTTGAGGAGCAGGAGGGGCTACAAGGAGCCTTCTCTGCTCCCAAGACTGGGAGAAGGCACATAGCAATTACTCCACATGCCCTCTCCAGACTAGGGTGACCCCACAGTCTGGGGAAGGCACCGGAAGCATTATCCCACTGCTCAACTCCCTGCAATCCTCTGGAGTTGAGTGGGGAAGGGTACAGTCATTCTTTACTGTGGGAGGAACTCTCCTACAGGAGGGATCTTCCATACTGAAAGAGGAAGATGTTTCTCCCACACTTTTTCTTTATTCTCTTGCAGGTATTTTTCCTGCAAGAGAACCTTAATGAACTCCTGTGCACTGTGGTTTAATCGGGAGAGCAGTAACTGTCCTGGTAGACAGCCTCTCTCTGCTGAGCAGATAACAGGGAACAAGAGCACTTCAAACGTATGCTTTTACTAACTTCTAAACTGACAAACTCTAAACTTTAGACACATGCATTCTATTTAAATTGTGTTAACATTTCTGTAGAAATTAATAGTTTATGGATGTGGAGATTTTCTTAATACACACACTGGTCATCTCTGAAACTGTCTATTTATGGGATGACAATATTTTGGGGAAATGGTACAAGTGGCTAATCAGACACTTCATATAATTATACTTTGCTAATACACACGTGTGCGCACACAAGAAAGTACAATATTTATGAAAAAAAGTCCCTTAATCTCAACAATGCTATTTTAGGGCCCATTCCTGCAAGGTAACAGAAGAGGGCTCTGCAGAGATGCAGGGGTCCACCCAGTTTTCTCTTTGCAGAATCAAGGCCTTTCAGTTTAAACCATTTTCACTGGAACTTGTACAAGTAGTTGCTCCCTACCATTCACAGCAGATGGGTGCCTATGACATGGGAAAATCCAGTAGCTTTCACATTCTTTGGGAAAAGAACCCAACCCAATGGTGAAGATCAGTGTGCATGAACTGACAGAGAAAGCAACAGACGTTTCACCTGCGATAGAGATTTCAAAAAAGCCTAATACAGTTAAGGCTGTAAACAGACATCTCTCAATAGCAAACAGTAGAAAAGCTACTTTTTGTTAAATTAAGGTTTGGAACATTAAGAAATTGGGACAAAGGCTGGGATAAGAGTAAATAATTTCCATATGTTCTGATATTTAGGTGGTTTGAATCAGCAGTACCACCTTTAGTTCCACTATTTTTTAAAATAATTGATGGGCATCCTATGGTTTTAAAGTAGCCAGATATCTATTTACAGTCTTCAACAACTTATATACAGACACCACAGACTTCGGACTCCCACCTACAAAACACATACATATATGTGACTTTCAGTTCTTAAAAAAAAAAAATCACTGAAATGAAAAAGGAAAATATTGGTAAATAATAAAGTATGTTGTTTCAGCATCAGGGTGTTGAAAACAAAGCTTTTGTCTGGAAGTGGAGTACCCTACTGCTGTTACAATTAACATTCAATGTTATAAACAGAAATAAATTAAAGATGATATTTTCCTTTACTTTTTCCAATGCAGTATCTGACAATTTATTTCAATAATTTCATTATATTTCACTTACAGAAGTCCTGGCTGTGGGATACTTTCAAAGCAACACATAGAACTACTTACCTCCTTTTTAAAAACTGACTAGATTTTAAGTTGAATGAAAGCTTTATGCTGGAAATTTCCTTACTTCAAATTGCATATATATTTATTTTCTTCTAAACCTTTTTAAAATTAAAGTTTATTTTCCTATACAAAATTAAGCCGCATGTAATCTGGATACAAAAAGTGTGACTCAATGCAACTGACCTTGATTTAAAAACCAGAAGGAAGGAATTTTTTTTATTAAAACAATCAAATTTTATTTTGATTTGCATTCATGCTAACAGTGATTTTCCATAAAATGTTGGTTTTCATCAGTTGATAATCATTAAAACTACTAAAAAACAAAAAGTATCAAGTTAAACAGAAAGGCTACTAGGAAGTAACACTACACTTTCCACACATTTACTGAAGCAGTTGTATATAGTGCAAGATGCATTTATTCAGATTGATTTTTACTTTGTGTTAAAATAGGAACAACGCTTGCTTTTTAACTTGTGGTTTGGAATAAGTTTAATGGAAATGCAATTAAAAGGCATAACACAGAAACATTGATTTTACATATAATAAAGACAAAGCTGCCTTAATTTGGTGGATGAGTAATGAAATAAACATTTTAACTAAAATTGTCTGCATATGAAACTAACCAGTTTAATAAATCAAAATATTATCAATAGCCAAGTAACTGAACTCATTGTTTTTGGTCCCCAGGTCCTTCAGAATTTTAGAACTCATCCTCACAACTTGTGATTAATCATGGATTGGAGGAGAAAAAATAATGGGAAAGCTAGTTTAACTCCCAATCAATTTCTCTCTCTCTTTAAATCTATCCTGGATATCATAACTATCCTTTTATTGAATGCTACTCAATCCTGCACTCAATGAAAAGACAAAGAAATGCTAACTGTGTATGGTGTGAAAGCATTTCCCATATCAGTTTTAAATTTGCACCTAAACAATTCATTGGAATGCTTCCCTGTTTTTGTATGTTTGGGGGGGGAAGGGGAGGCAGGGAGGGAGATAAAATATTTCCAATTTATCTTCTCTACACCATTTCTTGTTTTCACATCTTTATCTTGTCCTCTGATAGCAGTCATTGGGATAGCTATTCCAGTGGAACAGAAGAATAGGAAGCATCGTAGAAGACTGGCCTGCCTAGAAAACAATCTCTTTGCTGAGTTGCAACTCAAAAATAAATACACAAGTGGAAACTTGGTCTGGTCAAAATACTGAGGAAGAATGCAAGAATGTCATAACGGGCATGTAGGAAGAAAATCAGAAAAGTTAAGTCACAATTTGAGATGAAACAGCCAAGGTACCTAAAATGCAATAAAAGGGATTCTATAAGTATCCCATAAGAGAAAGACAAAGGAAAGTATGGGTCCCTTACTAAATGCACAGGGCAACTAAGTTACGAATGATACAGAAATAGCTATAGTTTCAAGAAGACTGAACTAAAAAGGCATTTAAGTTAGGCAGAAAGTGACATGTACAGCTGGCAACAACAAAAGGGAAGAAGACAAACTGCTTAGATTAGAACAGGTTAGGAATTGGTTAGAGAAGCTAGATGTTTTCAAGTTAGCAGGGCTGGGTGGGATACACCATAGAGTACAGGTTTCCCTTGCCAACCGCAGTTTTGAGTATCCACGGTTTTGCTCTCCCAGCCCTGCCAGAGGAGGCCCCCAGCTGCCAGGGCAATGGGCTCAGGTCTGCAGCCCCCTGCCCCCGCTCCCCCCTGCTGCCTACTGTGGGCTTGGGCAGGGCAGCTCCCTGCCACCGCAAGCACTCTTAGGGGGCAGGGGGGACCTACACCCCCCAGATCTGTATGAGGGGCAGGCGCAGGTTGTGGGTGCAGGCTCTCCTCTGCCACCTGGCAGGCACGACCCAGTGTAGCTAGGGACAGTGGGGCTGCACGGGGATCTCGCTGCTGCTTGCCCCCCGCTGCCCTGGAGATGTGCCCCCTGCACCTGCTGCTGCTTTGAGGGATGCAGCCCTGTGCTGCTGCCCTCACTGCAGCCCCACGCGCAGGAGGTATGTTGCCAAGACAGTGCAGGGCAAGCAGTGGTGGGCGAGGAGATCCCTGCGCAGCTCCTCTGCTCTCTGACGCGCCGGGGCAGGAAGCAGGGTGGATGGGAACAGTGGAGAGAAGCTTCTTTATTTACCCTATTAAAGGTAAATAAAAATGATTTTTATACACTGTATATTCCTTTATTATTCATATTCAAGTCCCTAACCCCATTTTTCCCATAAGCCTTTTGTCTTACCAACCATAGTTTTGCCAACCACAGGAACTTTCAGGAACCTAACCCCCATGGTTGGTGAGGGAAACCTGTAATGAAAGGACTTGCAAATATAAATCTCAGTCACTGGCTATCCTCTGAGGAATCATGGAAGTCAAGTGAGGTCCCAACTCATTGGAAAAGGGCAAATATAGAAGATCCAGGGAATCGCTAACCTAGAATACATGGTGCAGGTCCTTGTGGAATTTATTGTGAAGCAAGGAGGAGAAGAGAACAAGGCGAAAGGAACTGCCAGCATGGATTCACCAAGAACAAGTAATGCCCGACCAACCTGATTTCCCTCCCTTCTTTGGCAAGGTAGACATGGTCATAAGTTCTATGGATGGGGCAGAGGAAGAGAAGGGGAGTAAAACAATGTATGTGATATATCTTTATCAAAGTTTTTGACTCTGGTCTGCTATGTAATTCTTGTTAGTAAGCTATGGAAGTGAAGATGAAATGAAAGTACTGTAAGCTGGATACATAACTAGTTGGATCATCATGCCCAACAAGAGTTATCAATGGCTCAATGACTAGTGGGAAGGAGCTATCCAGTGGGGCTCTCCAAATATCCATCCTACATCCAGTACTATTTTCTTATAACTCCACAAGTTACGTGGAGTTGCATACATTGTGAAGTGCAGGGCTAGGATTCAGAATGACCTGGATAGACTGAAAAATGTTCCCATTTCCCCCCCAACAAAAAAATCAGCTAAGATTCAAGAAGGACAAGTGCAAAGTCATACAGCTGGAAAGCAATAATTGCAGGTACAAATATGGATTGGGTCATGACTGGCTAGCCTGCAGTACTGCAGAGAAGGACATGGGGCACTGGTTCTCAACCTTTTTACACCTAAGGCACCCCACTGAAAATGCCAGGTTCAATTTTTCACTGATTTTTTTACTACAGAAAAACAACAGAGTAACTCTTCTGTTCCAAAGAACTCAGAAAGAACACAACAGGTCAGAATGTTTTTAATACTATGGATTCCCATTTGAAATCTCGGGAGTTATTTTGTGAATCAAGTTTGCACACCTAACAGCACTGACATTGTATGGCACCTTAAAGTACTTTGAAAGGATCTCTATATACCACAGGCTGCCCTGGCATCCTGGTTGAGAACCACCAACCTGAGGGTCATAGTGGATTGTAAACTGAATGGCCCAACAGTGTAGCCTTGTTGCAAAAGGAAAAGCAAAAAAAGACAGCATTTTAAGTTTTATTAACAGAATAAAATTCTCTTGCAACTCAAGAGAAACGATTCCTCTGCTCTATTCAAACACAGGTGAGATCTCATCTGGAATACTGTGTCTAGTTTTTGGCCCATACTTCAAAAAGGATGTGGACAGATGGGAAAAACTCCAGCAGAGAGCAACAAAAATGCTTACTAAAGGGCTGGGAAGCAAAACTTATGATGAAAGGCTGAGGAACAAGGATTATATAGTCTGGAGAAGAGAAGACGGAGGGGGAATTTGATAACAATCTTCAGACACCTCAAGAGTGATTATAAAGAGGATGGAGATGAGTTTCTCTCTGTGGCTGTAGGCAGAGCCAACTCTAGGGCTGTGGGCGGCTGGCATATCAGCCTGGGCGCCCGGGGGGGAGGGGGGGTGGCAGCGAGCAGCCATGTGGTGTGGTGCCCTCAGCATGTGCCAATGTCTCCATGCACAGGGCCTGTACGGCACTGTCTGTGGGCCCCCACCAAAGTGTGGAGCCCAAGCCAGTTGCCCCGATTCACGCCCCCCAAGGAACAGCTTTGGCTGTAGGGGACAGGACTACAAGTAATGGCCCCAAGATGCAGCAGAGGAATTTTAGGCTGGAAATTAGGAAGACCTTTCTGATCATGATGGTGGTCATGTATTAGAATTAGCTTTCTAGGTAAATTGTGGAACCTCCATCTTTGGAAATTTTCTAGAGCAAGTTAAACTCTTGGCTGGGATGGTTTAGTCAGGAATGATCCTACCTTGAATAGGGGGCTGGACTTCATGAGCTTCGTTCCAGCCTTACTTTCCTATGATCCTCAGATTCATTTCTTATTTTAACAGGTTGAGTGTTCTCTCTCCAATTCAAATGAATTTTTTCCATGCTTCTAGTAATTTTTTTAGTCTCTGAACCCACTTTTTTTCCCCTTTTCAATGAGGTTAGTTAGATATTCCTAATGAAGGTTTACTTACTGAGTATTTTCAGTTTTATTTTTCATCCCACTGTTTAAGTAGCTCCAAAACTTCTTATGCTTAGAAAGTTGTTTTATTCTAAGCAGATGTCCTTCACTAAGCTGTTTGCAATAATGCACACAGAAGCCTACATGGCACAAAATCACCAATATACACCAATATTTAAATTTCTACATGAAGATTTTTGTAATTACAGTGCACAAAGAAAAAAGCCTATAAAGAATCTTAATTTCTAATTAAAAATGTAGAGTCATCTTCTATGAGTTGCACATTCATCCCCATGATTTCAAGTCTTCCAGAAGTAGAAAGCCCCTTCAAGGTTAAGGCCGAATTGTGCCGTTTTGGCAAATAATAGGAGGAGGGGCACAATTAGGTCACATAATAGAAAGCTGGGGACTGACAAATGTGGAGTTGCTACTGTAATTTAAAAAACCAAGATCTGATAAGAGAAACACTTTACTTCTAGGTTTTTAGTTAAAGACTGACTTCTCAGGAGATAAATATGAGACTAGACTTTCACATGTTTTTCAGGGGCTTCCTTGACAAAAGAAGTTAAAGATAGCTATAAGAGCTGCTACTCTGTTGTAATATAAACTATACTGTGTACCACTGCAGAACCCACGAATTGTTTAACTTACACTGCTATATCATTTTGAATACCAAATGAATACTAAGATTAAAGATGAGCTTAGTAACTAAGATCTGCATAGGCTTTGGTCCATAATTAAATAAAGTCAAAACATTGCAAGAAGCAGGAAAGATAAAGATAAAAGCAACATGAGTTAAAAAAGAAGAATACAGTTATAATAAACTAAATATGTTATTTACCTGCATATTAGCCTCTTAATGAAGGAAAGCACTGTCGCTAGGCAAGTACAAATTTTAAAGAGACGGAACTGCGTGATGGCCATGGTGAGAAACTCTTCCTGAGGGGGAAAAAAGTCAGTTTTAAAGACAGCTCAAACATATAGAACATCTTTACATACATTTCAGATTCAGTTACCTTTTCACCTACATGTAAAGTAAGTGAAAAACAGACAATAAAGGTACAATAGTATAAAAAGTGGGAAAGGAGACCCAGCGTAATGACATACACATAATATACATTACTGATCATCCGTAACTGACGCAAGTCTACATAAATAGTAGAAGACAAACAAAAACAAAAGAATGCTATAAAGTAAGAGAGAATATGTGATGGCAACAGGACTTAATATAGCTAATTTATTTCTGATATTCTTATCAGTAATGAAGTAACAGTGATGAAGCTGCAAACAGAGTTGTAAACAGTAAAGACTATAAATTTGTTTAGATGTGCAGAAATTTGCTCAAAAAGGACTCGACTCATATTGAACAATTACCAGACAGGTAAAATAAACCACTGGTTGTTCTAAATGCCCATGGAAGTTAACAGGAATTGTTCAATTCAGATGACAATGTTACTTTAATGTATTGAAAGGATGGCCCCGTTAGCTCCATTTAACATTCATCCTCAACCACGATCGCAGAGATTTCTATTGTGCACACGACCAAATCATGTGTTAACTAAAGCTGTGGACAGACATTACATCTGTAATGCTTCAAATACCTCTGTAGCACTACAGAAGTCAAGGGGACAGATGTGCATGTCCCTGTAGCACTGCAGAAACATTCCTGTTTGAAATGGGAACTTGTCTATGGTGCTATATTTTGAGGCACCACGTTAAGTTGCATGTAGTGCTACCTTGCTCTAGTTTCCCCCAGTCCCTCCAAGGGGAGGAGGGAGGGAATGTCGCTGGCGCCATGACAGCCTGCCAGAGACCAGAGCTTCAACCCAAGCTAGGACTAGGGGCTGCAGCTCTGCTCAGTGGTGAGCTGTCTGGGCCACTTATTGAGTTTTGGCAAGCCATTGAGGTCTGCCTGACAGGCAGCCAGGGGTAGATAAATATTAATTTTCTAAACTTTTGGAGGGCCCTGCCGGCTGGACAATATGACCTGGCACATGCAGCCCATGGGGAGCATTTTGCCCACCCCTGTGTTAGACAGTGTGCAGCTAAGCTGGTCTTGGGAGACCAGCAGGTCTTCTTGCTAGGGTAGTGGTGCTGTCATGGTAGTGGTAACAGCAGATACTGGTGCCTGCCAATCACTATCAGCGATTCCAGTGAATTGCTGATCATTGATAGGCTCTCATGGGGAGAGGGAGGGAAGAGCAAAGGAGCAACCTCTTGGCCTTTGTCCCAACTTTGTAGCTCTCCAGCCAAGGGGCTGTGAATGTACGTATGCTCTTCATAAAGCTGTATTTTGTAGTGTTACAAATGAACATCTGTCCAAAACAAAATTACATGGTAAGTGGGCCAAATACCAAATAAATACCAAACACGTTTTGAGACAGAAACATACTTGCTCTAAATGTATTCCTCAAACAGAAAATAGTGCACACATTTCTCTACAATAAAAAAAGTTTGCAATTCTGTGCAACAGTAATTGAGCCCCTGATCTACTAACCACTTAGGCCAAAACTTTCTAAAAGCAGGGAGCTCACTGAATATTTACTACATAGTAGAGATGTAAATATTGTTTTAAAAATGTTTCATTTAACCTCTAATTATATTGGTTAAATCAGGCTTGTCCAACATGCGGCCCGCCAAACCATTTTATCTGGCCCGCGGCAGCGGCAGTGGAGCAGAGCCGTGGCTGCAGCGGAGCGTGGGGCCGCAGCTGTGGAACTTGGAGTTGAGACAGCGGTGGCAGGGCTGCTGTGGAGGCAGAGTGCAGAGCCACGGTGGCGGCAGGGCCACCACAGAGCACAGAACCACAGCGGAGCGCAGGGCTGTGGCAGCAGTGCGCGGAATCGCGGCTGCAGCGCCGGTGGAGCGGCCGCGGCAGAGCGTGGAGCTG